ATTAAATTTAATATTCTTATCTCTGTTTTTTTTTTTTTTTTTCTATTCATAAAATCAAATACAATTTCCGTCGTCTTTGCCGGCACCACTCGTGTCCGACTTTCGTTTCTTCGTTGCCACCTCAATGCTTGACACTGACATGGCCCAGGAGTCCAAATCGGGAATTGAACATTCTCAGGCTCTGAACACATAGTAGGCCGTGTGAGGGTCTTGACTGTAGTTGCCGGTCTCTACCTTGCCTCCTCCTTCATCTTCAGTATTTCTCCTCTTCTTCAATATGCAACAACCGGAATGTATTGCTCTTTGCCGGCGTGGACGGTCAGCGTCTTCTGTTTCCAAAGTGTCAGGGTTGATTTCGTCTTGAAGGAGGAAAGGCTTCAGTTGGTCTTTGAACAGGGGTTTTCTATATATTTTCGATAATTTTATATTATTTATTTATATCAAATGAGCCAATTAAACGATAGAGTAGACAATAATCAACCCTCCACCTGCCCTATTTTGGCCTTGTACCATACTTACTGTATCAAATCAGGACCAAATATTATTCTGTATTAACAATGCAAGATTGTTTTGTTCTAGTGATGTAAAGCAGAGAGACATGAACAACATTTAAACTTACGTGGATTTATAAAAGAAACACGTTTTATCAGCGCCTAAAGTATCGCTTTGATGTTCATATTAACTTAAATAAAACTAGGGAATATCAAGTTCAGAGTACGAAATCTTAACTCACTGAACTAGTGATTAAACTGAAATTTTCAAAGGACCGATTTTTTTTATACAATCGGCTATGTCTCTCAGTATATACAGGCAATGCAATTTTGGAACAATTAAATATCTCATGCGAGGAAAGAGAAAAACATGCCCACTTAAATCAAATATCAACAGGCGTTTTGCACTGTGGGAGGTTACATTGATCAAAACTCCAGTTTAAAAATAAAACAAATTCCAATGGTAATGACATTCCTTGACCGAGCAGCCAGTGCTACCAGAGTTAGTTTTTTCTTCACTCCCTGGCCATCGGGATGATCAAAGTCTATTCGAGCGGAAAAAAATAGATTTTATCTCACAACTGCGTTTCTGTCTGTGGACCGAACAAAACTGAAAATATTAATGCCAGGTGTCCAGTCCCGTGATAGAGCTTTTCTCATTGAGAGGGGTGAGTCGTATTACCGATCCCAGCTCAACCAACGGGCTATTTTTTGAATCTGGCCCGTGTTCACGCGTTCAGTCAGCCAACATTTAAGTGACCTTGTGTCACAACTTGCCAATCAAGGAAATACTAAATGTAGTATTTACTTTCGAGTGGAAAACCTGCCTTTTTGTTTCTCAACTGTGTTACGAACATAGCGAAATTCAGTTTTGCCTTTGTCTTCGGGCAGAGAGCAACTAAAAATATTATTGAAATGGGCTAAACTACATTCTATCTCTCAATTGTGTTTCTGCCTACAGACATAACAAACAAATAGTTGATGCCTGGTCCAGGGTATACCAACCCTGCGGCAGAACCTCATTTCTCGCACCATAGAGGTAGGGTCAGTGGGATATCGACGCCAGCGTGATGTTGGTTGCCGGTATCGGGTAATTTGGGACTTGGCCCATGTGCACGCGTTTGGGTTCCCCACTTTAAACCCGACCTGTTACCGTGTGGGTGGAGGCGAAAAAATACATAGTGTAGCATCTGCCTCTCTAATCTTCTATTTCTCTGTGCCGTGTCCTTTCTGGACATGGATGATCTTGGTCTCCACAGCTTCTCTTACCTTGTGGCTCTTTACCAAAAATCCTGTCCACAGTTGCGCCATCTATTCACATATGCTTATCAGGTAGATAACCCGGCACCTTAGCCTATCTCTCTTCCCCTTGACATGCCGAGTGAGGGTCAAGATTCAAACCATCTTTTCACATTATGTGAATCTCTAATAATAATGGTAATATTAGCCGTTTCCTTATAAGGAAATATCCAGCATTCATTGAACGTACAGCCAATATTTTGCTGGTTGAAACTGTGTCCTAACTCCTTATTTTCCAACGTTACTTCTACAACACAATTAATTGTACACAACATATATATATATATATATATATATATAAACGACGATTGCCACCGCGAGATTACTCCAGTTACAAGTAATAATTCGTTATTATTTCTTTCTTTCTTTGCTGAGTTTCGCTTCAAATGCTAATAGTTGCCATTACAGTTTTTCTACCTTCCCTTTCCCCAAACAATCGTACATGAAATCGCGACACTTTATCTGTGCCGTATTCTTTCTGGGCATGGATGATTTTGGGTCCCCACAGCTTCCCTTACCTTGTGGCTCTTTAACAAAAATCCTGCCCATAATTGCGTCATCCATTCCCACATGCTTATCAGGTAGATAACCCGTTGCTTTAACTTATCTCTCTTGCCCACGATATACCCTGTGTGGGTCAATGTCCAAACCCTTTTCCTGCATTATGTGAATCTCTAATAGTGAAGGAAATATTAATCGTTTCCTTATAAGGAAACATCCAGCATTCATTGAACGGACAGCCAATTTTCCTGTTGGTTGAAAATAATAAAATATTTCTATTCAAAATATTTTTTCAGGAAAAAAAAAATTCTATTAACTGTGTCGAAATGATTTAAGAACATGACTTGTGTTTTTTCCATGAATGTTTTGGTTCTGTCTGATTGCTTAGAAACACATCAAAACCCTTATGGGTCATTTAAGGCCAAAATTTAATTTCTTGGGAGTTTTAGTAATTTCTTTTTCAAAATGTTATAACTGGTAATTTTTTTTATTACAATGTATTGCTACTAATTTTTACCCTTACTATAAATATGTATTGCGAGTATTGTTGCAATAATCTTTTTATACTAACAGGCGCTACCACCACGGGTTAGGTTTGTCCTGGGAATAACAGATATTAAAAGGTAGTCCCACTCTCCTCAAAACCTCACTATTAGTGGAATTGCAGTCGGATGTAATTTATCGTCATACCCAGGCCGTTTTGGTTCTGTAGCAACTTGCTGTGTTAGGAGAAACTACTTTAGTACAGCTCGAAATAATTTTTTCTGACTATATCGATGGATTCATATATATGTGGTCGAAGGGAAGGAAATATAACAAATGCTACTTAAAATTGTACATCGAAAAAGTACAAGAACGCTTAGCTTTATATTCAAAATTAAATTTTAATTTTTAGGGGCCGAATATATCTAGGTGAACAGCCGTTGCAACCTCGGTTGTGGCGTTTTTATATTTTGTTTTTAATACGGCTGTTTAAATATAATGTAATAGCCATACTTTTGTTCGGAAAAGGATTATATTGTATAAACTTGGAGGAAAGCTAGCATGGAAGGTTCTCAAATTAGAGCACTTTCGATATAGTTCGCCTAAATTGATTTCACTTTTACATCCAAATTACGATAGGAAATATTACAATGAACTTTTAATGCATTGAGTATATAGTTTTATGATCTAGCCCTTTGGATACGTAAAGTTTAAAATGAATTTTAAAAAATTCCAAATCTTTCTTGATGCTTTTATATTAGTTTTTAATTTCAAGCTAATAGATGAGATTTAATATTTCCAACTAGCAGTAGAGCCCGGCGTTGCTCGGGGATGTAACAGTAAGAGATAGATCAAGTATCGACCATCATAAAAACTGAAAAATAAAATTGACAAAGATTATTGTTTAAGGTTGACTGACACGCATTGTCTTAATTAGTTCTTTTTTTGTTTTGTTTTGTTTTTTTACCAAACTCAAACAAAAACATTGTTTTGCAATCGTTATGAGTCTACCGATTGAATAGAATTTAATTATAAACAATTGTCTTGTAAATAGAATTTTTAAAGCATTCTGAATGTAAAAATAAAGAAAAAAGTGTGCAAGAAACACTACCTGCCAAAAAAAAAGTGAAGTTTTGTTGAAATCTGTTGAAAAATGTAGGAAATCCGAGCTCATATATAAACGAACACACACACAAACAACCTGGGTTTTATAATAAATATAACTCAAGATGAGTTGTCCCCCTTTCATTCTTGTGATGCCTCTTAATCGTGTTTTCAAATGGATTTCTGTGCAAAAACAATTGTGTTTTTCCAATTTTTGGCGCTGTCAGAACCACCGCAAGGTAATTTTACGTAGTCCTGTGAAGTTTTGTTAAAATCGGTTGAAAAATGTAGGAAATTCGATCCAATATATAAACGTACAGACACACACACACAACCTGGGTTTTATAATAAGTATGATAAGCAAAATAAATTGATGTATTCCAAAAACCAATTTAAAACTAATTTGAATTGACTGGAAGGATTTTTTTTTTAATAAATTAGCCGATACCACCCTTTTTAACCGTCTTTAATTACAATGTAATTCTCTTTATTAAAAATCTTTCAAAAATAAAATATGCTTTTTTGAAACTTTATTTGAGGAATATGAGCAGATTTAATGTATAATTAATCCGATTTGAAACAAATATTATTTATTTTAAGTTTGAAATAAAGCAAAAATACCTTTTGAAACCAAACTGTAGGTGTTCTTTAACCGACAGTAGCCATGTGTACGTGTTTGACGAGGGATAACAAGGTAATAACATATTAATCGTTGCTCTCTAGAGACTTCATTTATAAAACATAATTCAGGATAATAATGTGAGCACTTTTTTATATAATTTTTAAGTGGTCAGTAATCTTAAAAATGTTGGATAAAATAGTCTCCTTAATCTAATTTTAGGAATCTTGACTTTAAATTGACGATAGTCATTGCTCTTATTTTCTGATAATGTCGTGTATGGTAGCACATATTTAAAAAATGGGCACGTTTATATACAGAAAAATAATTCAGAATTCTTTAAAAAATGTTGTTGTTTGAAGACTGCTATTAAGATTTATCATTAATGATTAGTAAATATAGATTTCACTTAATAGTAATTTAATCTAAAAGAGTGAAATAAATGCAGAATTTTTTTTCTAATTAAAATGAACAAAAACTTTTGTAAAAATAAATTATTCGCT